CTTACAAAAGAGTACCAACAACTTATGATGCAACAGTTAGAAGATTTGGATGTTAACCGACTTCATGCGATAAGTCGAAGTGTGAAACAGAGTGAAATCAGAGCAAGGAGTTATGGAAAGAAAGTTCTTCACAGGACATTCCAAAAAGGAGACCTAGTCTGGAAGACCATTCTTCCTACATATAAGAAAACTGATCAATTGGGAAAGTGGTCACCGAATTGGGAAGGACCATACATTGTTCAAAAAGATATTGGGAATGGTGCTTTCATTATTGTAAATCATGAAGGTAGAAGAGTACATGATTGTATTAATGCTAAATATCTGAAGAGGTATTATCCTGCCTTTTCAGATAACAAAACTGCCTGAAACAAAATGTTATTCAGAACCCATTTATGGGGTTCGGATTCGAACCTATTTAAAGGTTCATTTCTGTTAGTCATCATGTATTTGTGAGAAATTTTCTGCCTCTGAATCAGACTTTTCATCCCAGTGAGTGGATATTAGTTCTGGTTCTTCTTCAATAAGATCTTCCAAATCTGGTCGGTACCTTTCCCATTGGCTTTGCATGTCGTCAAGATCTTGATGGGTACGCGCTTGCATGTCTGTTAGGGCTTGATGTTCACGATCAACAATGGTCCGTAATCTTGAGAAGACTTTTCGTTGATTGGAAAAGATGTTATCCCAACCAAGATCTGGAAGTATAGTTGCTGCGTGATTTTCTATCATTTCCATGTGGTGATGGAGATCAGGAATGCGGCTAAGGATGTCACGAAGTGGTTCATACCCTTCAATGACTTTTTCCATTAGGCGGATGACGCGATGAATGGTTCTTCTTCCTCGTTGGGAGAATCGGAATTTGAAGTCTAGTTGCTTGAGTATATGTAACAAGTCTTCTGCATGGCCTCCAATAGGGTGATTACCCACAAAGAAGGGTTGAAGAACACCCTGCCAGTTGTTTGATGGAACATAAGGTCGGTCATTCGCCATGTTTGTTAACACTTCAAGTGTTGTGATTTTCAAAATATGCCTTGGAATGTGTTTCTTAAAATGTGAGAAACAATGTTCTTTTAAAGAAGGAGTTTGTTTCTATTCCTACAAAGTTGGAAATTGAAAGGTGATCCTTGTTTTGAGAGACGAAAGAAAAAATGGATTACTAAGTCGTATATTGTTACAAAGGGGGAAGTATTACAACAATGCCCCTAGGGCAGTTTTTATATGGGTCCATTTGATTTCATCCCTGGATAGCCTTCTGGTATTGGCAGCCGTCTGATATCTTATGATGAATTGGGATCGGGCTTGGGTTTTTAGCTCTTGATCCAATTCAGCCTCATTTTTGGTATACTTCTCAAGCAGACGCTGTTCATTGGTAATTTGCTTATCCAGGGTAGACTGTTCTTTCCTCAGTTCCCTCAATTCTGCCTCCTTTCTCTGGATAGCTTCATCAACTTGAGCTTTCGTGCTAAGGAGACCACCCAGCCTTCCAGTAGTCTGCTGAAGGGATTCTCGGGTCTTAGCCAAAGAATTCTCCAGCGTTGTTTGATCGAAGTCGGGCTGGGGGGTTTCGGCTGACAGGAGTCCAATGACTAGCACTTCAGTCTTGAGCTCTGTAAGTCTTTCCATCAGCCGATGCAGAATGGGGACGGCTGGCGATTCCGTTGGAGTGTAAAAAAGAAGGCCACCAACCGTCTGAATGAGTTTGTCCAATAAGTCGGATCTCAATTCTGACAGGGGATGGTTAATGGCCTCAGTGAATATGGTTCGGGCCTCCGCCGGAACCGGAACAGTCGATAGGACAGCTAAGTCCGAAGGCCCCTGTAAGTCCTACAATGTCAATAAGTATTCCAAAGGAGGTGCAAATTTATTCATATAAGATATGTGTTACCTCTGGGCGGACTGCTGTTAGTGAGGGGGGCAGCAATGAGGTCGGTCGAGTAGGGCAGACAGCTGGTATAATAGCAGCCGACTCGTCGGCTGCTGCGAATGGTCGCTGAGGTGCCGACCTGGGTCCCTATGAAAAGTGGTATATAAAACAGTTAGTGTTTTCTGAGGGAAACATTGTGGCATGGATTGGTGTAATCTTACCAAATTTACAGAAGTCTCCGATTCGGACGAAGACATTTCTTCCATTTCTGGAGGTTGGATTGCCGCAGGTGGTTCTTCTGCCTGCCACTCGATGGCTAGAGGGAGCACCGCTGCTGGTTGGGCGGCTGCAGGTTGGGCGGCTGCATCTAGAGCCACTGCAGCCGGGATCTCTGGGGCACCTTCGATTTCGGGATCAGCAACATCAAGGATGTCGTTTTGAGGGTCAGCTTCGGCGAGGGCAGTTGGTCCTTCCTTCGAAATGGATGAGTCTGATGCCATATGTGGCAGTTGACCCATCTGGGAAGTTGTCCCCTCACTGTCCGAAGAGACCCCTGCTGCTGATTCGATGGGTGAAGGTGTCTGTGAAAAATCATGGAAATGTTGTTGATTGAATATATCAAAGTTGGTCATTAGAATTCTAAGTATTGCTGACGAGAGAACTTACAGGTTCTATAGGCGCTGCTGGTAAAGTTTGCTTCCTGGTCGGGTGCCTGGCCCGACCGCTCCTCGGTGCGGGAGGAAGAGTTTGTCTCCTCGTCGGGTCCTCCGCCTGACTGCTCATTGGCAAAGTGAGAAGTGGAGTAGGGGTTTGGAGAGGAACTGCCTCAGTCGGGACCAAAGGTTGGTCGGCTGGGGCTGGCGTCGGTTGTGTGGTCGGTGCTGCCAAGGTCGGTTCTGGTGAATGATATGTGAAATCAAGGTTAAGATATAGTGAATTGGTTCACGGTTTTAAGAAAAATTACCTAGTCGGGGTCGGGTCCTTGCTGACGTCCTAGTAGTTCCAAGGTCCGCTTGAGCTTGCTGGTCGGCCCCAGAGGTCGGGGGTGTTTGCAGCTGGGAAGCTTTCCTTTTTCGTTTTGGAACACTAGATCCGGTCCCCGGGGCGGCTGTTTGTGGCTGGGTGCTAGTGTGTCTAGCCGCCCCTAGAACCAATCCTTGGGGTGGAAGGAGTATGTTCAGCAACCGACCCTCATCAGGGGAAATCAGGGGCCATACAACCGACCACCATTCATTGAAAGTATCTACAGTCTCAGGGTTGGAGCGGAAAGGAATATACGAATTGGAAATTATATACGTGGTGAGCTGGGAGATATAAGAAGGGATTGAATTTGGTAGGACTCGTCGGTCGGGACTTTGAAAAATTATATGAGGACAAGCGACGGGTCCAGGGATACCTTGGCAACAGCCGAACTGGCGCGCCATGAATTGAGGTTCATAATTAAAAGTGTAAAAGGTTTTCTGCCCCTTTTTATCAAGTTTTTTGCTACTAAAAAGAGACCTGGGTTTGAGGGCAACGTCCCAGGCAAAAGGATAAGTGGAATGAGGACATGGCTCAGGAGTCGGAAGCGGATTTGGTACTGGAAAAGGCCAAAAATGGTCGGGAGCATAGCCCGCATATTTTTTATACATAGAAAATCGAGAATTACTGCGGGTATCTGTTAAAACTGCAATTATTATTGGATCGGAAGATTGGAGGTTATTGCGTCCTGAGCAGAGTCGGTTAAGGGCTAGTCCCAAATGTTTTTTAGCTGTTGGCATAGTGGGCGGAGATCCTAAGTTAAACGCGTTGGGGAAGTAGAGCCGGAACCAAAGTTCTAAAAACCAAAAAGGACCCGACGCGGCAGTGTCTAATTTCCTATTATCATTATCTGTTAAGCGAAGACTAACTCTAGTGAGTCCTTCAAACAGATTGGCTAAAAACAGGGTGCCAAGAGAGAAAAAACGACCTGACGCGATATGAATGGCTAGGTCGAGATGAGAAGGAAGAACACATTTGGAAGGGGAAACAATGACGTACCTACAAAGCCAAAAAAGGATAAAGGCAGTATGCTCCCGGTCGGTTACAGGGGTCCCTGGAGCCCCTTGCTGGTCGGTTGCGAACTTTGTCCAACCCCATTCCTTCACACCTTGTAAAGACCACCCTGGATGGTCTTCTGATGGCTCCTGCCCATCTAGGGCTCCCATTACAGGGTCTTCACCCACGACTGGGAGATGCGCGATCATTGCAACGTCCATAAGAGTTGGGCCAAAGGGGCCTGATGGGAAGAGGAAAGTCCCATTTTCCGCATTCCAGAAGGCAGACATGGCCAACAACACCTTCTCATGCAGGTTGATAGGCATGGTGGACAGTAGTATTGCTTGGTCGATCTTTTGGGAACGCCATTGGGTCTGGAAGTGTTCTGCTACCCGTCGATACCAAGCGCGGTAAGGATCTTTTGGGTCTGTGAGATGGGTTTTGATGCTGTCTCGAATGCGAACTGCTTGGTAGTTAGGGCTGTTGATAGCCAAGGAATTTCGGGATTCCAAGACTTCCCTCATCCGATTTGAATCTTCAGGAGTAGTGCAATATGGACGGATCGTCGGAGTCAGTACTTTCGAGGCTGAAAATGGGCCCTCCGGGAGGGTTCCGTCGAAGGGAAGGGCAGGAATGTATTGATTCGCCATGGTTAGAGTGTTTTGGGATTGTGATTCACAAAAGCTTGTATTGCGGAGAAGGAAGTTAATCAGGAGTGTTGCAGTAACTGGTGCAGTTGCTAAGGGAGTTTTTCAAGAGGGTGGTGATTTATGAACTTCCAAACATTGATTGTTAAATGGCGTTTGAAAGTCCCTTGGCGGCGGGCAAGTTGTTACGTACGAAATTTAGAATTAGGTTAAAAGCCCAAGGTAAAAAGAAGAATGGGCCTGGCAATAGAGTTGATTGAACTGACTGAAGGGTACCATGAGGAAATCAAGGAAAATAGGTTTATTACTAAGGAAAGTCCTCAGGTCGGAAGGTCTTCAGGTCGGTAGGTCCTCAAGACGGAAAGTCATTAGGACGGAAGGACCTCAGGTCGGTAGGTCCTCGAGACGGAAGGACCTCAGGTCGGAAGGTCTTCAGGTCGGTAGGTCCTCAAGACGGAAAGTCATCAAGACGGAAGGACCTCAGGTCGGAAGGTCTTCAGGTCGGTAGGTCCTCAAGACGGAAAGTCATTAGGACGGAAGGACTTCAGGTCGGGAAGACCTCAAGGCGGAAAGACCTCAAGTCGGAAGGTTTTCAGGTCGGGAAGACCTCAAGGCGGAAAGACCTCAAGTCGGAAGGTTTTCAGGTCGGGAAGACCTCAAGGCGGAAAGACCTCAAGTCGGAAGGTTTTCAGGTCGGGAAGACCTCAAGGCGGAAAGACCTCAAGTCGGAAGGTTTTCAGGTCGGGAAGTCCTCAAGACGGAAAGACCTCAAGTCGGAAGGTTTTCAGGTCGGGAAGTCCTCAAGGCGGAAAGACCTCAAGTCGGAAGGTTTTCAGGTCGGGAAGTCCTCAAGACGGAAAGACCTCAAGTCGGAAGGTTTTCAGGTCGGGAAGTCTTCAAGGCGGAAAGACCTCAAGTCGGAAGGTTTTCAGGTCGGGAAGTCCTCAAGGCGGAAAGACCTCAGGCCAGATGGTTCGCAAGTCGGGAGGATTGGCGGTCGGACCCATACTATTGTAGATTGGCAGTCGGGCCTAAAGGGCGGAAGGTCTGTGGTCGGCTTAAAGAGTGAAATATAGGGATAATTTTGGTCTGCTGAGGACGCGTGTCAGCAGGAGAGGGGTTGGAAGACGGTTGGGAAGGAGACGTTGTAACCGTTCGGAGGACGGTTTTCGGTACGGTTTCCCAGAGAATATTTAAAGGTTTGAATCATCATTTGGCAAGGTATCTTCAATCAACTTCAACAAAGCAAAGTCAGATTTGGGGATCACCACTTTAAATTTCAGTCTTTTATTTTCCAGTTTATTTTCTGTACCATACAGTGTTTAGAGATTCCTAATCTCAGGCACTAATTAATCAAGTTTAAGGATATTTTCTATATCTTTGAATTTTACTTTATTTTTGTTGAAAAATTACATCAACAGAAATAAATTGAATGATTTTTTTTTTGTATCAATTAATCACTATATTTTTATTATTATTTGAACAAAATATTGCAAAAATATAAAATATTATTATGATGTTTTGGGCGGAAGTCGACGCCAGAAAATAAAAATATATATATATATGTATATGGTGTGGCGCTAAAGGTGTCGCCACATATATTTTATTTTTATTTTATTTTGCTATCACTTTTGGCATCAATAATTTTTTTTTTTACTTAGTTGTGGCACCACCTTCGATCCTTTTTTTTTTTTTTATGGTTCCTATAATGGCACCAAGAGTTTTAATTTTGGTCCAAAAATCCGGCGCAAAGGAAACTGGAATCATAATTTTGTACCGGAATAAAACCGTGACACATGCCGCGCCATTTGAGCATAAAAGTTGTGGTTTTGGCGTAGTTCATTCCGCGCCAATCTCTCATTTTTCTGGTACTATTATACTCTGAGTTATTCTTTTGCAGCATTCCGTTTTAAATTTTTCATGTTGCATCCCTTTTTTTTTTGTGTTTTTACTTTAATTTGAAGTTCACAGTTTCTCCCCTATGAACAGAGGTCAACATGATTTTTTATGCTTTCCTTCGAGATTGTATGTTCGTGATAAAGAATCAAAGTTACCAACACCCAGATTCTCTGCACAGTTTTAAGTCCAATGTCAAATTTTTGCATGTTCTTCATGCTATTGATGTACTGTTCCATTTGCAATTAACTTTTATTTCCTGCCAAAGCCATAGCACGTGAAGAATGAAAAATCTGATGGATTACACATTTACGCATTTGGACTTTGTCTCTACTCATCATCAGCTATTGGGTCTGATTTTACTTGCTTTTACAGGTCTTTAATGAATTGCTATAAGGATAGGTCCGTATTTTTTTTATTAGGTGAGTTATGTCCAAAGTTCTTCCTTGTTTTCAAGCTGGCTATGTGAAACCCTTATGCTGTTTGAGTTTTTTTTCAACTATAAATTTTCATGTGATCAAAATTTTGATGGTGTATTACAATACATGTGATTTAAGAACAAGAATAATAATTCATAAGGACAAACAGAAATACCAAATGTAAAGCAACTTTTTTCCTTTTTTCCAGCTTCTGGTGATAATGGAATACCAGAAGTCATGGCTTATCCCCAAGGTGCAGTTTCAAGAGAATTTCAGAATTTGGGTGTTTGTGTGGTGCAACAATGTGCCAAAATTTATCAACTAGGCAAGTCAATATTCTCTTCTTATAGTGTGGTTGTAAATTTCTTTTCTAGAAAATGCATAAAACTCTGGGGTGCTTCATTAATGTTAGTTGAAAGCTTCTTATGCTTGTGTTGTATAGTGTCAACGACAACCACTTATGATAAATTTATGAACGAACCAATTCAAAGGTTTGTTCTGCAGTTTCAGTCCCTTCATCATCATATAATACTAAAAGTAGTATATATGGTTTTAATTCAATCTTAAAATAGAGAATGCATATTGTGAGCTAGTGCGCGTTTAACTTATGTAGTAGTTTGCCCTATTTTTATGGAAAATTAGTGCATATTTAACTTATGTTTTTTTATAGGAAGTGGTCGTGTGTCAATGAAGGCATGTTGTGTGAATTCAAGATAACCAGATTTGAGTTTAAGTTATATTTTTTTATAGGAAGTGACTGTGTGTCAACGAAGGCGTGCTGTGTGAATCCAGGATAACCAGATTTGAGTTTAAGTTATGTTTTTTTATAGGAAGTGCCGTGTGTCAATGAAGGCGTGCTGTGTGAATCAAAGATAACCAGATTTGAGTTTATTCCCTATGTTGATACAATTTAGATATTAAGTACCTCTATAAAAATACGTGCAAGGTTGGCCTCACTTGATTCCTTTGTTGTAGACATATTTACGAAATGAGCTAAACAAGATTCCCCCTAAAGGGCGGACTCGGGCTGTTCGGGAGACTCTGTACCGACAGACTCTTGGGGGAAAAAGCAAGAAGTGCTCGAAGGTTGACAGTGCTACGAGTTCAAGTCATCCCCTCAATGAAGCAAGTAGTTTAATAGATATTGTAGCATTCCAATAAGGGTGGGAAAAAATGCATAATGGAATTGCAGAGTTGACAACAACGATGACTGAATTCAAAACTATCAAGGCTGATGTGTATCCATTCATGCACAAAAACTCCAGAGCAGTTACTGGCCCATTTGAAGTAGTCGTAGTATCCGCACTTTTCATAATTCTATCCTATGAGCTTTGAATGGTTAAGGAATTCACTATGATCTGCTTATTCTTGATAGGCCACAACTCGTATTGATATGGTCTCTGAGCTTTTCAGGCCTGTTTCCGAATCACCTACGATGGTATGATGTCTTTAAAGCCTGAAGTTAACTAGTAATTAGTGCAGTGTCAACTTTACGCCAATTCTCTTGGCCAACTATGTTTCTAACTCATTCGTAATGTCTATTGTAGGTCGGCACCCGTGTGCTTATATTATCTTGTACCAGATAATAGAAATTTTTTGCTAAAGGGACTTTTGCTCTACCCCCCTTTGCATGGTTTGTGGCATTGTGCCTTGAGTTTTTTCTTTTAAATCCTTCAATATGATGTTCATACCGCATCATCGATGTTGTGACCATTCAGGTCTCATAGTGCAGATGATCATGGTTTTATTGAGTTTGCGCATATTCAGTTTGACATACATGGCAGTTAGAATATTATGTATACGTAGGCTGTTAATATCAGACAGTGGCTATGTTGGTATTATGCCAATTCTGTGCTGATCTTATATTTTTTATCATTCACATGACATTGTTTATGGCTATGCACCTATGACACTATTTAGATGCACATTGCAGTGCCAAAACTAATAAATGTTGGCTTTATTATTGAGTATCTTGTAGTTTTGAGCTGCCTACAACATATACTTATGTGATGAGGATCACTAACATATAATTTGATTTATTAGTCGTCGGTACTCTAAACTTGAACTCATCAGCAGGTGTATGCTTAAAATATTTAATGCATAAATGGTAATTAATCTCCATGGGACATGATAATACGGCACATACATGGAGTAGTCTCATTTGAGGGTAACCATATAGATTTATTACTTATTGAAATTATTATTTGAATGTTGTACATGATCTGCTGCTTTACTTAGGTTTTATTGGTGGATGAGTTGTGACACGGCTTCGGATCACCCGAACCCGAACTTAGACGGACCGATTGCAACCCGAACCCGGTCAAAGCTACTTGTTTGCTTGGAGGTTGTGATCCTTTGATCTTAATCAAAATGTGTGGTTTAGATTAGCTTGCCACTTAAGATGTGTGGTTTAGATTAATTTGTCATTTAGTACCTTGTTTATTTTCTTGATGGACACACAACTTAGATGAGAACATTTTTTAGAGAGGATTAACCTAGCTTTGGAGAGATTCCTTAGAGTTGGAGTGATTCCATCCGACGAGAAGGCAATTCGATTGTTGAGCTTCGAATGCAATTGCGTGAGAGACGGAAGATGCATCGGCAGCCTCGTACAGTCCGTGGATTCTTGAAAGTGTTTGCTCAAGAGGAGTGATTGCTTTTGGAATTCAACTTATCCTATTTCTATTTCGATTTTCGATTCAGCATTTGTAAGTTCCCGAATACATATTAGATACTTGTCTTCGAGTTTGATTCATGGACATGATCCTAATCCATGTCAAGCTCTCAAAAGGGAGTTTGAAGGAAGTTCAAAGCCAAAAAATATGTATGCCAAGCCTTACACTTCAAGGATCGACGCCCTCAAGATGTCGTTGGGATATCAACCGCCGAAGTTCCAACAATTTGATGGCAAAGGCAATCCAAAGCAGCATGTGGTACACTTCATGGAAACATCCAACAACGCTGGGACATACGGCGATCTTTTGGTGAAGCAGTTCGTACGGTTATTAAAAGGCAACACCTTCGACTGGTACATCGACCTGGAGGCTGGTTCCATCAACAGTTGGGAGCAGTTGGAGTACGAGTTCTTGAACCGGTTCTACAGCCCGAAAAGAACCGTCAATATGACAGAACTCACCAATACTCATCAATGGAAAGATGAACCAGCAATCGACTACATCAACCACTGGAGGAGTTTGAGCTTGAACTGCAAAGACCGGTTGTCTGAGGCCTCCGGTATAGAGATGTGCGTCCAGGGAATGCACTGGGGGTTGAAATGCATCCTGCAAGGGATCCGACCCCACACTTTCGAAGAACTTGCTATCCGCGCTCATGACATGGAGTTAAGTATGGCTTCAAGCGGGATGCACATACCACCAGTTCAAGAATCTTCAAAAGCAAAAAGATACGAAAGATATGATGCCATAAAGAAGGGGAACAACGCCCCTATCAAGTCTTTTGGAAAAGAAGCCTTGGCCATAAAAGCGATGACCAAAGCACCAGTGAAGATCCAAAGTAAATAAAAGGAAGTTGCAAGGAAAACACAATCAACTCAGACAGAAAGACCGCCAAGGCCAACCCTTAAAGAGTTGCAATCCAAAACTTATCCTTTCTAGATTCTGACGTCTCGGACATCTTTGACGATCTACTCAAAAAAAACCTCATTGAACTTCCGAATTCAAAAAGACCGGAGGAAGCTGGAAAAGTTGATGACCCAAGATACTGCAAATACCATCGTGTCGTACGACATCCCATCCATAACTGTTTTGTCTTTAAAGACAAAGTCATGGAGTTGTCTCATGAAGGAAAGATCACCCTTGAAGATGATTTTGTTTCTGTTAATGTCACTTCAATCATGCTCGGGTCTCTCGAAGTTGACATAAAAGACGAAGAATCATATTGCCTTACTACCGAGAAAGATAGCAAGGCGATCAGAGACAAATCGAGTGAAGAATGTGCCACGATAACTTTCACTGATGAAGATTTGATGTTAGGATCCAAACCCCATAATCATCCATTACTGGTTGTAGGTTATATCCATGAACAAAGGAATAGCCGGATATTCTTAGACGGAGGAGCCGCAGTCAATGTCCTTCCTCTATACACATTGCAAAAATTGGGAATACCAGTAGATCAGTTGTTCGAGAGTCGTATGACAATACATGGATACAATCAAGAGGGGCAAAGAGCACTTGGCACCATAAGATTGAGACTGTTAATCGATGAAATGGAAACTAACCCTTTGTTCTACGTGATAGATGCAAAGACATCTTTCGACGTCCTTTTGGGAAGACCATGGATATGTGAGAATGGTGTAGTTCCATCAACGTGGCACCAATGCTTCAAATACACTCAAAATGAAGTGACAAAGAAAGTTCTTGGAGACACAAAGCCATATGCAGAAGCCGAGTCACACTTTGCGGACGCCAAATATTTCTCTACAGAAGCAAAAAAATCCAAGGTACATGAAGATGTCAAAGCACCACAACCAAACTTGGGGGCAAAGTCAAGAGATAAAGAAAAAACACCTGCCTCAGGTTCTGCAGACTCATTAATTGAGCCTTTGAAAGATTTGACTCTTCCAAAGACCCCACTCAACCCAATCTCCCCCTCACAGACAAGGAATGGAAAATAAGAAAAAATAGAGGCTATGCGATTGCAAAAGGACAAAAGCTTTGGCCCAAAAGCCTACAAACTTCTCACAAAAGCTGGATATAATCCAAATGAGGAGTCACTGCTGGGAAAGTTACCACCACGGGCAACCCAAGGTTCGAGGGCTGGTCTTGGATACATGCCACAAGCTCCCGTACGCATCGCTATCAAAAGGGCTGCAAACCATTATATCACCGAAAGCGAGAGTTTGTCTTCCAAATCACCTCAAAAGGGGAAGAATGCAAGAGTATCGGTTTTCGAGAGGCTAAAACCTTTTGTCTTCACAAGGTTAGGACCAAAGATCAATAAAGAGAAAAACAAGAAGAATTCCGCATCAACAAAATATGTGGAGATGGATGAAGAAATCAAAAGCCGCTTTTCATCCCGCATGACGCGTCAAACAAAAATGATGATACATTGCGGTAAAGTTTTAAAGGCTAAATGGCAAACCGTTGTCTTCACCAAACCCAAAAAAGATAATGAAGAAAGTGTTGCATCATCTTGCTACATCACTGAAGGAGGTGAAGAGACAATGATTGAAGAAGACGCAGGAAATGCACCCGCCGCGCTTGAAGAAGGGGTCAAAGCTGCAGTGGACGAGTTAGAAGAAATCAACTTGGGAATTGAAGATCACCCAAGACCTGTCTATGTCAGCAAAGAGCTGGGTGAGGATGATATGAATGCCTACACCCGACTTCTCAACGAATTCCAAGATGTCTTCGCTTGGTCATATAAAGAAATGCCCGGCTTAGACCCGAAAGTTGCGGTCCACCATCTAGGTGTGAGGAAGGTAGCTCGCTCTGTAAAGCAAGCGCAACGAAGATTCCATCCTGAACTCATCCCTCAAATTGAAAATGAAGTCAACAAACTCATTAAAGTGGGATTCATCCGGAAAGTCAAATACCCCCAATGGATTTCCAACATCGTGCCTGTAAAGAAGAAGAATGGACAAATCCGAGTTTGTGTGGATTTCCGGGACTTAAACGAAGCATGCCCAAAAGATGATTTTCCTTTACCCATAACTGAATTGATGATTGATACAACGACAGGACATGAAGCGCTTTCTTTTATGGATGGATCATCTGGATATAACCAAATTCGTATGGCACCTGAAGACGAAGAGTTAACCGCCTTTCGTACACCGAAAGATATCTACTGTTACAAAGTTATGCCTTTCGGATTGAAAAATGCTGGGGCAACCTACCAAAGAACAATGCAAAAGATCTTTGATGACATGCTACACAAAAATGTAGAGTGCTATGTTGATGACTTGGTTGTCAAATCCAAGAGAAAAGAAGATCACCTGCAAGACTTAAGAAAGGTTTTTGAAAGGTTGAGGCGCTACCAATTAAAAATGAATCCTCTCAAGTGCGCTTTTGGAGTCACCTCCGGAAAATTCCTCGGATTCATTGTCCATAGTCGTGGAATTGAGATTGAACATGCAAAGATAGATGCCATCACAAAAATGCCTGAGCCTCGTAACATCCACGAGCTAAAAAGCTTACAAGGTTAATTAGCATATATAAGAAGATTTATCTCTAACCTCGTTGGACGATGTCAACCTTTCAACCGAATCATGAAGAAGAGAGTGCCTTTCCATTGGGATGAAGCATGCAAGAAGGCATTCCAAAGTATCAAAGACTACTTGACAAAGCCACCAGTGCTGACAGCCCCAATTCCTGGACATCCATTGACGCTTTACATCGCTGCACAAGAACGTTCAGTTGGAGTCTTGTTAGCACAGGAAGCCAATAAAGGGAAAGAAAATGCCCTCTACTACCTCAGTAGAATGATGACACCAAATAAACTAAATTATTCACCAGTGGAAAAGATATGCTTGGCGCTCATCTTCGCCATAAAAAAGTTGAAGCATTACTTCCAAGCGCACACTATCCGGTTGGTGTCCAAAACAAATCCCTTAAAATATGTCATGTCAAAGCCTGTCCTTTTTGATCGACTCACGAGGTGGTACCTGCAGCTGCAACAATTCAAAATCATTTATGTACCACAGAAAGCTGTAAAAGGACAAATATTGGCAGACTTCCTTGCTGATCATCCCATCCCCGCTGAGTGGGAGTTGTCTGATGACTTCCCTGATGAAGACGAGCCTTTTCTTAAAATCACTCCACCATGGAAAATGTATTTTGACGGCTCATCACACAAAAATAGAGCTGGAGCGGGAGTAATATTTGTCACATCACAAGGAGAAGTCCTTCCATACTCTTTTGCCTTAAAAGAAAAGTGTTCAAATAATGTGGCTGAGTATCAAGCACTCATCCTCGGCCTAAAAATGGCGGTAGACATCAAGCAACGCCAACTTCAAGTATACGAGGACTCCAAGCTTGTTGTAAATCAAATCACTAGAGAGTTTGGAGTGAAGAAACCAGAACTAATGCCTTACTTAAAGTATGCTAAGACACTCATTGAGTTGCTCGGGGATGTCTCTATTGAATATGTCCCAAGGAAAGAGAATGGGCAAGCTGACGCTCTGGCTAAACTGGCATCGACTCTATCCATCCCGGATCAACAGGTGTATATTCCGATACGCAAAGTTTGGGTGGATTCCTACAAGTATGAAGAAGAAGAATGTGTTGAAAAAGAAGTAAATCACCTCATCGAGGTGTTTGGAATTGAAGAAGAAGAAGAAGATTGGCGGCAACCAATATTAGATTTCTTAAAATATGACAAGCTCCCGAGTGACCCGCGCAGACGAGCAGATATCCGAAGAAGAGCTGCACGCTATACCTACTTCAACGGCATGCTCTATCGTCGGTCGTTCGACAATATGTTCCTTTGATGCCTCGGCAATCATCAAGCCAAACAAGCTATGGAGGAAACTCATGCCGGAATCTGTGGAGCTCGTCAAGCTGGCCCAAAGTTACACTTCCGAATAAAGAGGATGGGGTATTATTGGCCAGCCATGGCTAAAGACTGTATAGAGTTTGCACGGAGATGCCAACCGTGTCAATTTCATGCTAACTTTATCAATCAACCACCGGAACCATTGCACCCAACTATTGTTTCGTGGCCATTCGATACCTGGGGCATGGACGTCGTAGGACCACTCACAAAGTTGTCCGCTGGACATCTCTATATCTTGGCCGCAACAGACTACTTCTCCAAATGGACATAAGCAGTTCCTTTGAAAGAAGTAAAAAAAGAGACGGTAGTTGACTTCATACGAGTCAACATCATTTACCGTTATGGGGTTCCTCGGTGTATCATCATTGCTAATGGAAGATCTTTCCCCAATACTCACATCGACAAACTTTGTGAAAAGTTTGGCTTCCAACAAAAGTAGTCCTCGATGTATTATGCACCGGCAAATGGACTCGCAGAGGCATTCAATGGAACACTTTGTAACTTGCTGAAAAAGGTTGTCTCCAAATCAAAAAGAGATTGGCATGACCGCATTGGTGAAGCTTTGTGGGCCTATCGTACTACATTCCGCACTCCAACATAAGCGACACCATACTCACTTGTATATGGGGTCGAAGCTGTCCTCCCATTGGAAAGACAAATTCGTTCACTAAGGATTGCTCTTCAGGAAGAATTGACGACCGAAGAAAATTTCAGATTAAGACTCGGAGAGCTAGAGGCTCTCGACGAGAAAAGCCTACAAGCTCAACAAAGACTGGAGTGTTATCAAGCACGATTGTCTCGAGCTTACAATAAAAAAGTCAAATCACGATCCTTTCAAATCGGGGACTTGGTTCTTGCTGTGAGAAGGCCCATTGTGATCAACTTTCGTTCGGAAAATAAATTTTTATCCAAGTGGGATGGACCCTACATCGTCACTCATGTCTACACAAATGGTGCATACAAGTTGACATCTCAAGATGGACTCCGGAGAGGGCCAATCAACGGGAGGTTCCTCAAAAGATATTATGCGTAAGACCTTCAAATCAAATCAAGACTCCTTAGCATAAGAATAAACTGCAAAATAATAATAAAAGAAAGTTCAAGTTGCTTTGAACTACGTTATGAATTGATCCCTTTACCGGGTATGTAGGCAACTTGAGATATACCTTCAAGTTCAGTCAAATAAAAATAAATTAAAAAAAAGAAAAGAAGGAGAGAATTTAAATTTATTGATTGGCAAGCAAAATGAAGAGTACAAATTGATCTTAAGCATTAAGATTATACAACTCTTCTTTGCTAATATCCAACAACTCTTCTAAGCTTTTTAAGTATTCTTCGTCTTGCGCGGGGATATTCTCTACGGCGGCGAGTTCATCCTTGACTTCAGCAATTTGAATAGCGAAATTTTCATTAACTCTTTGATGTCGCTTAATAAGGGAAATATTCTCTCTTTTTTGCTCTTGTAAAGAGCGAAGCTTCACGTGAATATTCTCCACACACCCCTCTAACTCCTTGATAGATTCGCACTCCTCAACATGCCTCATCTCAAGGTGCGCCAAGGATACGGCGTCGATCGAGTCAGAACATGCCTCGTCAAAAGATGCAGCGTCATCAAAAAGGGCCTTGACTCGGTCCTCAATATGAGAAATGTCAAAATACTTAAACCTTTTCATTGATTGGAGCACTACGTCATCCTCGTCCTTAATCGAGGAAAGCAAACGAGCTGGTGTCCTCAAAAGCTTACCCCAAAGATCCGACTATACTTTTCCTATATATTTGCGTTGGATCCCTTTCACAAAATCCACGCCACAAAATTCTGAAACCGCGGGCACAACGGAATGAACAGCTATGGGCTTGGTTGGAGCATCCTTTACTTGCTCATTGCAAACACCTCTGCTTTCCCCAATCACCTCAACAATGGAATCTCGGCTCGCCATCTTTTCATCCATACTCGGGATTCTTTGCTCCAACTAAAAAAAGGGATAAAAAAATCATGTCAAAAAAAAAGAGAGATAAAAGTTACCTCTCTTGCGATATCGCTCGAAGAATGGTGTCGGCTCGAACGAGGACTTGACGTGTTGATGATATGGGGATCTGGACGAGCTCGCTTCCAATGAACATCATGCTCACTACTGCTTCGTTCAGAGATAGAAGGTACCAACCGCTTTGAAGAACCGACATTGGGGGTACTTGAATTTCCATTGTTCCTCTCAGGAACACCCCGAATAAGTAGCGGCATCTTTCGAGCATTATCCGATGGCTTGGTATGATCGGTGGTCTTTTGTACCGGCAAGATATACTAATCCAAGAAAGACCCGCAAACTTGAGTCCACCACTTCTTGTATACGTCGGAAGAAAATCCCCTCGGAATTGCAGGAATACGTGGAAGAATAACTTCGGATGAAGATTTGAAGTAAGTGCTTTGGTGCCAATGTTGATAGCGTTCCTCAAAAGCGCAGCAACGAATGTCTTTCAAAAGAACTCCGAGAATCTCTTGGAAAAAACCGAATTGACGGCAAAAACGGTGGGGACTATACGGCTCCATGAAGCATCGAAATCCATCCCGCAAAGTCAGAAACAAGAGTGAATGGAGATGAAGTATTCTTGCTCGTAGTCCTCGCGCTTCCCGTCATCAACAAACCATACGTCGAAGTCTTTCGTGATCATGGTGCAAGCCCAACAAAAGTAGTCACCGCGCAAGATTTTTCTGCATGCAACATCTGCTCTATACGCATGAGCACTAACAGCCCCGGAGTGCTTCACCATCCCCGGACCACGGATTCCCTTCCATACGCCGTAGTGGGTCTGAAAATACTCAGCGATCCATCCGGTCAAAAAGTGGAGAGGAATTGTCGACCGAACTTTCCCAGGACATGATGAATCTGCGATTTGGTTCAGCCCTCTATAAATACTGGTTAAGACTGGAATGGCCAAGCTTACTGGAATCCCTACGCTAGGACACTTGCCATCTTGAAAGTTGAAGGACGTATCAAACCAACATCGTCGAGCGGAAGCACAAAGATGCAAAGCCAACAAGAAAGGAACGCTGTGAGAAAAGTCTCCTCAAGGTGCTCCCGTCCAACTTTGAGTTTGGCAAAAGATGACTCTTGCGCCTTCGACCATGGCTCGTGGGCACCAATCTCTCCGGTAGGATTGTAAGTCGCATCAGGCCGAGAAGAACGAGTAGACTCCTTGCCACGACGAATTTGAGAACGCTCGTATTTGACGGTCTTTTTGCACCAAAAAGAAATCCAGTCGGTTACACTGACGCCACGTCGACCTTTGTCACGACTCCGAAGAAGGTGATAGGCATGCAACAGATACCGGCACGAACGGGGAACCAACTTCCTATCCTCTTTACTGCCATATAGCTCCTTTGCGCTTGGTACCACCTCTTCGTAAAATGAGCCGAGTATGGGGAGGCCCACCAAGGACGCCAAGTCACGGAGAGAGATCGACACTTCACCGGCGGCAGTCAAAAGGGTGTTGGTTTTGGGACACCACGCCTCGCAAACGGCCTTGACGATCTCCGGAGAATAGTCGTAGGAGAACAAGGAAGCATAAACCGCATCGTAAATGCATCCTCTCTTTAGTGGAATCTCGCATCGATCCAGCACATCCTCCACCCATTCCCAATAGCTGGCCACGTACGAAAAGTTGCCATCAAAAGAAGGAAGACCATTCCAAGCACACGCCCCATCCATGATCCGCCGCCCCAAGGTTGGAAGTGGAAGAACATCGTTTGATACGTGTTGATGGAGTGAGGATTGCAAGGTATGCTTTCCGCCAGTGACATTCCGAGACCACGTCTTTGGGAAATTTGGGACCTCCAAGCGAGGGCGAGCAGCTCCGCATCCTATGAGTGGTGGATGCACCAATAGACGAGTCGCCTTGTCCAGCGGTTGACCTTCAAACTCGCAAATCACCAACTCGGCGTTTCTAGAGGGGGAGGAGACATCCTTGAAGTAAGCCATCTCACCTACAAAAAAAAAAAAACATAAGCAAAGATCAAATGATGAAAAAAAAAATAAAGAACAACACAAGAGAAAGAAACCTACGCTAGAATGAGAGAAAATCAAGATTGTGAGAAGTTGAGAATGATAAAGTTCTCTCATGGTGAGGGGTTTATATAGTGTCTAGAAATTGAGATATGAAAAAACATGCATAAGGAAAGGAAGAAGATAAGGAAATAAAGAGAAAAGGAAATTAAAAAAAAAAGGAAGGAAGATAAAAATAAAAATAAAGAACAAGGAAAGAATATATATACATATATATATATGATATGTGTGTGTATAAAAAAAAAGAATTTTGCAAAAAAAAAAAATGATAAAAACACCATTTACAAAAAAAGAATTTTGCAAAAAAAAAATGGCAAAAAAAATGCCAATTTTGCAAAAAAAAAAAATGGCAAAAACGCCACTTAAAAAAAAAAGAAGAAAAATTTTTGCAAAAAAAAATTATATAAAAAAATTAAAAAAAAAAATTGGCAAAAAAAAAATGCCACTTCTGAAAAACAAAAATGGCAGAAAAAAAAACCATTAAAAAAAAGCATCTTGAAAAAAAAAAAGAAAAAAAAATCTTTTTTTATGTTTCGAGACTCGTTCACGCCTTAGACGTTTTGCGTCAGCTTAAACAAGTCTCGAGGGGGCATTTTGTAGAATTAAAAATTAAATGTCTAAATTAAATTAAATATCATGTATTTTGGAAGAAAATAAAATTCCAATAATATAAATATATGGTATTTAATTATGCACATATGTTAATTTTTGTACAATAAATATCAACCATTAATGCAAAAATCTACTTAAAATGGAAGATATCGTACAAATATTACGTGCAAAAATAGAGCCATAATAAATTTGGCAACAAAATAAATTAATCTTGTCAATAAAGGAAGTATATAAATTAATATCTTCCAAACAAGGCAATGATATAAAGATCTTGTCAATAAAGGAAGTATATAAATTAATATCTTCCAAAAAAGGCAATGATATAAAGATTTTGGCGAGAAAGGAAGGTGCACAATTAAATCCGTAAAAAATGGAAAACGGCATCCGATGGAAAAGGAAAGATTATAAAATCTTTCCATCCACGTGGCACCATCCGAAAAGGAAGCCAAGGCCACCCTCCCCTATAAATAGGAGTCATGGCTAGTTCATTTGACACCGAAGTTCATTTGAAAACTCGCGCAAGGGTAAGTCTCTCTAGACTCTCTGCATGTTCTTCATTGTTCTTCGTGTCCTTCGAAGCGTTCTTCGTCGAAAAGTCACCGATTTGGACAAATGATCCAATATTGGTTGACGAATCGATGGAGTTAACGTTCTTCGTCGTATGTCCGAGCTGAAGGAAGGATCAAAGCTCCCAAAGCCATCGAGAAATCCATCAAAGGCAAGGAAGAGTCTCAAAAGTCGCTCCCAAAGCTTCAAGATGTTCATCGCGTTCTTCATCAAAGGCGCAAACTCAGCCCTTTCGATCTAAAAGTCAAAGGGACATGCCACCAAAAGCGTTATGGAGCACCAAATCCATCTCCTCAAAGATCAAAGCCGAGATCGTCCAAAGAAGACACCAAATCCAAAGCTGATGATCAAATCGCCAACATAGATATCAAAGCCCTCCAAAGCCGGCAAAGCCAAACCGAAGACCAAAATTCCTTCGGATCAAAGAAGCCACTCAAATCCAAATTGGAAAAACGGATCGACCCGGAGAGAGAATAAAAGGATCCAAATAGAGAATAGGACCCGCATTTATTAAATTAGATGTAATTTGTACGATTTTGTGTTTATAAAAATATAACACAATTTTTTTTGTCTACACACGCTATAATACAAAGGAAAAAAAATGAAAAAACAAAGCGCTAAATATACTTATTTCGAACATTCTACAAAAAATACGAAAACCACTGTAATTAGAACTATACAGCACAAAGTAAGTACAATTTATACAATGATATATAATATAAAGGAAAAACAATGAAAAAACAAAAGCGCTAAATATACTAATTTTGAACACTCTGCAACGAATACGAAAAGCACT